GCACAGCACCTCCCCAGCTGCCACCAGAAAAACACACAGGCTCTTCCTTCTGGTCTCCTCTTGCTTGGCAGACTACAGCTAAACTGGTTTGTGTGGTAAGGCTGGGGTGGGAGGGTGTGCTGCAGGGGTGGCCTCTGTCCACAAGACACCACAAACTCCCAAAAGGAGACAGTTTCATCCAGCTCCAAAACAGACCCATCACTGCCCAAATCTGAGGCTATCAGTGGTGCTTGGTGGCACTTCTGTACTGCTCAGGAGGAGGAGGAGGGAGAAAAGTCATGAAAAGAGTGAAGTTGAGCCTGGTAAGAGGGGTATGTATGGGGTGTTTATAGGTTTGTCTTTGTTTCTTACCATCCTATTCTATTCCTTATAAATTGAATTACCTTTACCCAATTTGAGTCTGTTTTGCCTGTGATAGTAACTGATGAGTGACCTCCTCATCTTTACCATGACCCATCAGCTTTTTCACCTTATTTTTCACCCTGTTCCTTTTGGGAATGGGAAAGCAGCTCCACAGGGACCTGGCAACCAGTCAAAGTTAACTCACCAGAGCAGCAGAGAGTTTAAAATCTTATCTCACCTTTCCTCTCATCCAGCCTTAATCCCTGTTACCTTTCCTGCTCCATCTCTTCTGTAAGATAAACATTGTGGTCAATTACTCCATCATCTGCCATTCACATCTCAAAATTTACTGAAATGAGATTTCCCTCCTTTGATAGTGCAATTACTTTTTGTTTTTCCCTTGTGTCTTTTAAACAAAATTGCTATAGTATGGCCTCACCCCCTTTCTTTCCACTGCTTTCAACAGCTGCCGAAATGATCTTGAGAAGTCTGAGCAAGGGAGGGTCAAGTGGAGGACGGGATTATTTCCAGGAATAGCACTGAGTGATACCATTACAGGAATACTGGGTTCATCTCTGACAGCGAACATTAGAAACCAAAGCTAGAAAAATGCAGGTTTTAACAAATGAGAGTAGATATCAACTTGAACAACTTAGCCCGGGAAGTGATGGATTTCCTGTCTCTTGAAGTCTTTAAATCAAGATTGGATGTTTCTCTAAAATACATTGTCCAACTCCAAGAGAAATTACAGATTTGATGTAGGAATCACTGGGTGAGACTCTTGGTCAGATCAGGTTAGACCACTGTAAGTTCGGTGTGCACTCTCAAATTAAATTGAAATTAACATGCTACTATTATGTTTGAAAAAGACAAAAGCAGATGCCTCAGCTCGGGTAGTAAATTGCTGATCCACTAGCATAGACATAGGTCTAAAATCTTAATGATTAATACTAATTTTGCATGAATTCACATGCTTATGTGCCAGCAAAATAACTAAGTATTTTTCTAAGTTCACTTGCTCCTAGTAGTGAAGAACTAGGCAGCCATGGAAATATTATCTCATTTTCATTGTTTTTTATCTGGGTTTACAAAATCAAAAAGTTAAATGATGAAGAAAGGAGGAAAGAGGAACCAAATTTTGGGGAGAATTTAGAGAGACAAAGGAGGCAAAGCAAGGAAGAAGACAAGAACATCAAGCAAGAGCAAAAGCAGAGGTCATGAAAAGAGATGGGTAAATAATGTCAAGAACAAGCCTGCTGTTTCAGAGAGAAGACTGGAAAACGTGAGGGGAAAGTAAACAGAAGTAGAAGATTTACTGAAACATAAAGGAATGAGTATTCTGAAATGCAGGTTAACTCTGTTTGCCATTGATCTGCAAAGAAATCTTTCAAGAAGTAATTCATTTACAGGAACTTCGCCATCTCCCAAATGCACGCACACACAGAGTCATGCACACAGCTGGACATGTCCAAGCTGATAAGTCTGTCTGTCTATACTTCTCTGCTCTCAATATTCTGTGCTTATTCTCCCATGTGCTAGATGCTAGGAGTCCACAATCATTCTCCACAAATCACTGTCACCCTCTGCAGCAAATAGAGGGGTTGTCTTTCACCCTGCAACAGGAGAGTTTGAGGACACAAGGTGCAGTAAAAAACTAAGAAAGTAAACTTGAATGAAAGGAGGCAAAACTCTGATCTTGGAGCAAGTGTGTATGTTTCAAAGCAGAGCCACAAAGTTCACCTTAAAAAAATCTATATTCTTTCAAATTGTCAATTAACATTTTAAAATTATGCTATTGCAACTCCAGTCATTCCCTGTGACTGATAGAAGTATCTTGTAAAGCCACATGTGAAGCTAGAAGATCCCTCCTCTGACATACAGCTATTGTGGGATGATTTCATTACCTATCATTTATTATATATATCTTTTAATTATTAACTGCAATAGACCCAGACTTCTGGCAGCTCCTCTGGGAAGCTTCCAGGGCTTGAAGAGAAAAATTCAAAGGCACCAAAAAAAGACTAGCTACTAAAAGAGCTCCATTATTTTCTCCCCACTTAAAAAAAAAAAAAAAAAAAAAAAAAAAAAAAAAGAAAATTAGAAAAGGGGTGGGGGTGGGAAGACAGTGAAAGGAGGCGGTGTAGGGGCAGTGAAGTTTTCCTTTTCATTCGCTCTCCCTGCCTTTGGCACGAGTGTGACAGCGCTGAGCGCTCCATCCTGTGCCGCAAAGCGCGGCAGGCAGCGCGGAGGGGAGCGCCCCCAGGGGAGGGGGGACGCGCCTGCCCGGGCGGCCCCGCTCCGCACCCGCTCAGCGCACGCACATCCGCGCCGCCACCTTCATTCATAGTAACAGGCACTAAACAGCAGCAGCCCCGCTGATGGGCTGTGCGGGCGAGCCTCCCGCGCCCAGCCCGGGGCACTGTCCTTGCCTGGTCCTCCCGCAGCACAAAGTTCCGCGATGCTGCGCGCCCGCCGATGGGCGAGCAGCAGGAAAAAAGGCGGGGTGAAGGTGGCGAAAAAAAAAAAAAAAAAGGAAAAACACCACCACAAACAAACAAACAAACAAGCAAACCCAAAACCAAACCCCCCCAAATTGCAAAATGCGGGCACAGGCCGCGGCTCCGCGGCTCCGCGGCTCCGCGGCTCCGCGGCTCCGCGGCTCCGCGGCTCCGCGGCTCCGCGGCTCCGCGGCTCCGCGGCTCCGCGGCTCCGCGGCGCGGGCGCGCTCGGCGGCCGGCGGCCGCGGCGGTGCGGGCGGCGGGGGGCGCACGGCGCATGTCCGCCCGCGCCGCGCCCCCGGCAGACGCTGCCCCCGCCGCCAAACTCACCACCATCTTCTGCATGTGCAACACTCGCCGCCGGACGCGCTCCGCTCCCCGGCGATGGAGACTGCGGGAAAAATCCGCCGCGGCGGCGTGGCTTGCTGAAGCGGCAGCCGGGAGAGAGGCAGGGCGCGAGCGGGAGAGGATAGCGAGCAAATTCTAAAACCAAACCACCAGAAAAAAAATTAGAAAAAAAAAAGAATAAAAAGAAAAAGGAGGAAACCTCTCTTTTTCTCCCCTTCCCTTTTTTTTTTTTTTTTTTTTTTTTTTTTTTACTTTTTTTTTTTTTTTTTTTTTTTTTTTTTTTTTTTTTTTTGTTTTTTTTTTTTTTTTTTAATTTTTTTTTTTTTATTCCTGGTTTTGTGTGTATCCTCCTCGCCCTCGATGCCTCTTTGAGCAGCATCCAGCGAGCGAGCGGGAGAAGGCGAGACAGAGAGGCAGAAGAGAAGATGAGGATAATTTGCAGACAGCTTGTCTTGTTGTTTTCTGGCTTTTGGGGACTAGCAATGGGAGCTTTTCCTAGCAGCGTGCAAATAGGTAAGCGCTGCATTGGGCTGCGTGCGTGTGTCCAGGGGTTCAATCCTTTGCGAAGTGAGTTGGAAAGGATGCTCTGAAGGCAGTTTTTGTAGATTTCTCCTGCAGCACCATCCCATTTCCGTGTCTGCACGAATCATCCTCGTGTTTCTGTATATGTGCCTCCGTGTGTCTGTGTGTAAATATTTCTGTGTGCCTTCGCGTGCGGGAAGGAGGATGCTTATCTTGTGCAGAACTCTTTCCAGCCCCGGGTGTGCGCTATCGGTAGGGCAGGAAGGGGCTCGGGGCTGATGCCCCTTGGCTGCTTCAGCCCCCTCCGGCTCCCCTTGCTTTTGCCTGACTCTCGAAGGAATGACGAGTCCTGAGCACCGGAGGTTGCGGTAGCCGCCGGGGATGGGGGGGCTAAAAGGCTACACGGTCCTTCGTTCCTCTCTGTTGTTGGAAAGTTTAGGGTTTTGTAATTGTCTCCCTGGAGTCCTGTGCCCCATCCTCACCCCTTTCCCACCGCTTTCTGCTTCCCTCCTTTCGGACGTGTTTGGGATGGGTCGCAGCTATCTGAATTCTTTCCAGCTCAGCTCCATCACTGCATCATTTCTTGTGGACTTGTAAAGATGCTGCTAATAAGGGTGAGCTGCTCCCTGCCTGCACATGGCTGCAGAGGAGCAAAGTTCATTATCTTTCTCTTCAGTGCGGATTATCCTACGTCGAGTTGGTATTTCCTTTTTTTAATCCAGAAAGCATCGTTCCGCTTAATCAGCCCGCCACTTAACGTGAGAGGCTGTTGAGCAGCTGATTTACCAGTGTGTTCAGTATCAGGGAGATGGAGGCTAAACACTTTAAAAGGTCACTGTAATCATGACAAATCTGGGTATTTATGTATGAAAGGCTGAAAACTGAGAAGTCAGAAAAGAAGCATGAATACATCAGGGAGGTTAAAATCGATTGAGGACGGTGATTTAAGGGCAGTGGTTGTGATTATGAATACGATTAGTTCCTTATCCATTAAAGTCTTAGGACTTGCCTTACTGTGCAGCTTTGGGAGAGACAGTTGCTCGGTTTTACAAGACAGTAAGTGGCTTGCAAATGATTTACCCAGCTGCTTTTGCTTTTGCTTTTTTTTTTTTCTGTTTTTTGTAGGTGGTCTCTTCATCAGGAACACAGATCAGGAATACACTGCTTTTCGATTAGCAATCTTTCTTCATAACACCAGCCCCAATGCATCCGAAGCACCTTTTAATTTGGTTCCTCATGTAGACAACATTGAAACAGCTAACAGCTTCGCTGTAACAAATGCCTGTAAGTAAACATGCCACTGATCTGACTACCTTACACATAAATTGCAGTGGAAAGAGCAGAAAACCACGTTATTATCTTGCATTATAAATACATCAGGAAGTCTGTCTTCAGTACAGATAGTCTTTGCAGAAGAGCCAAAGGGGCAGCAGTCCTTGTTAGTTCCTTAGTGGAGTAAAATCCCCTCTCCTGCCTTCTGCTGACTAACCTGATGTGACATTTACTTTAGTAAAAAGTAAGCTGCAGTATTACTGTATTTTCTTGCTTTCTGGTTTCTATGGAGATGAATTTTGTTGTTGTAAAGAAAAATTATGAATGTCTCAATAAGTGCACAAACCCCACACTTTTGTTTGCTTCTGTGCATGCTGTACCTGGAGTGTATTTGAAAATATATTATAATGTTTGTGCTCCCAAATGCTTTTCTAATGGCTGGAAAGGAGACAGGGAAGCAGTGGTGTGCAGGATAATATATCTGAGTTGCTTGACGCTGCAGTTGATCTGGTGATGTCACTTGAGGCAGCCCTGCTCTTATATTCTAGGTTGTAAATGTCTCTTACCATTTCGTAATGCATACATCCTGTGGATATGTCTCTGTGCATCCATACATTGGTGCCAAATCAAGTTAGTATCTGATCTACTTGATTTCACAGACCACCTCAACTGGAACAAATATTGTCGTCCTACTATATATTTTATAAACACACACACACCCACATACACACAGATGCACATACACAATGAAAGGAAGACAGAGCAAGAAATGCCCTTAACAAATGAGGTAACGTTTATATTCTTTAATTTCTGTTTTTTAAAAAGTGACATATAATTAGCTGAACTTGCTACATTTCAGTCACCCCAGGTCTTTACCAGTAGTTGAAATACGTACTAGATATGCCTAATCTCTGAGAGGGGCAAAGCATTATTTCTATTTATTTTCATGTATGTCTGGCTTCTTAAAAGGAATTCATGTTATTATGTAAGAGAGTGGTGTACAGTGGGGCAAAGCTGAAGACTCTAGTAGTGTTACTACTTTGATGTTCGTATTTCAGGACTCTATAGGTTTTCCTCTGTAGCTCTTAAGTTTTTGAATCCCTCCTCTTCATTCAAGAGTGAATTGCCTCTGGAATAGATGCTCTAAGCGACATTGCTGAGCGAGTTTAAAATAGAAACATACTGGAGAATGTCTTAGTGTTCATTGTGCCTTAAAAATATGTGCTCTGTTTCTCTTCACTTTCTCACTGCCATCTCTGTGGCACTTTTTAATATGTAAACATACAATATGCTGTGCAGTTCTCATGAATAATTTATTGCGTGATTGCTAAATTTATTTGTACAAGTCTTTGCTACTTCAAGTTTCAGATGACCTTGCCACCTTGTTTAAGAGGAAAAGCTTCTGAGCTGCCAAAATGGCTCCATTCATTTTATACAGGAAAGAGTGATGTCCCATAAAGTGTGAATTCTGTATTAAGCAATGTGTTAGTTGTGTGTAGTGTGGAAATCAGTATCAAATTCCATAAGGTAAAAAACATTTCAAAAGATGCTTTGAAACTGGAAAGAATCAGGTCTGTGCAGGTGTAGTTCATTGAGAAAATATTACAGTTCATGTCAACTTTTACATGTCTTCCACGGAGACCAATGACACAGTAACTTTTTTAAACTTTAATTTTTAGTAAAAGAGGATGGGACTAAAATCAGTAATTTTAGGTGAAGTCAATTATTCTAGATTTTACTTATGTATCTAGTTCCGACAATTTCTCAGGCTATTGCCACATTTTGGATTAAGGATATTGCTTAGTCTTTCAATTTGAACGTTAGTGAATTAATTCTGATTTGCGCAAATTTAAAATTGTCTAAAATTGGACCACTTTTCTCTGTAAAACTAAGCACCTTAAATTCAAAAAGTGTTTGCTCAAACCTTTGCTCATTTACACTATTTGCAGTAGATTCTTCTTTCATTCCAACCACCTTATGCTATTTTTGCTTTATATTTAGCTGAGGAGCACCTCTTCCATTGTGTTTGCTGTCATTTATAGAAATTGTGATTCATAACCTGATCTTTTTTTTTCCTCTTTAAGCTGAACCCAGTTTTGGTTCTAAAGTGTTTAATAGCTTTAGAAATTATCAATCCTTGTAATATGGGGGAGAGGCAGAGAAGAAAGAGAAAATTAAATTTATATGCTTATGTGTGTGTATGCTCATAAAATTCTGTACATCTGTATTAAATAAAAGTAACCCTAAAGGCCTTATTTACGTTTCTACTTGCCATTTAAATGCACATGTATTTTTGCATAAGTCCAAGTTTGCATTCATTTCATGTTTTGCAGTCTTGTGCCAATAATCTGACTACTTCTTCTTTTTAAAAATATAAGAATATTTTTAAATATAAGAATATATATATGAATATATATAAGAATATTTTTAAACAACAGATATTGTCCTAATGAAATGTAGGCAAACCGACTGACAACTGAATGAACATATCTCATGTTCCTTAAGCTAAATGTGAGCAGAATCCTGCAAAAATCAATTGTCTGATAGCTGGAGGACACTGGCTTCCATGTGATTGAATTTCCTGGCTTGACAGAGGCTTCTAAAGCGCAGATGTGCGAGTTTTTCTAACCTAATTAAAGAAGCCCCCACCATCAGCTCTGAATTAAGTGATTTCATGGTAATATGAAATGAAAACTCTTTGCTGAACCGCTGTGAAACAGTGAGTTTGGACCTTGCTATTGTGTATAAATTACTCAGAGCACATGTCCCCAAATATACAGCACAAAAGCCTGAGAGCTGCTGGACCAAGATGAATATTCATGTGAGTTCAAGCATAAAGCTCTGAGACATTATCAGTTTCCTCTATTTCTGTTTCCATTCCCTGCATAGGTTACTTGTGAAGATTCAGGGCCTGTCCTTTTGCATGTGTCAGGGACAGTAGACAGATTATTCCAAAGGATTATGGATGGCATGCTAGCAGGTAACTACCTGCAACACTAGCAAAACTTTAATTTTTTTTTATTTTCACTAGGTAAAAGACATACATCAAAATGTTCACCCAGGAATACTTTTGGAACTGGAAAAATTTTGTGTGTTCAATGTCATAGCTAATTGCCAATGGTTATTTTAAGCAGTTTTGTTTTCTTCAAACAGGTCTAGAACATTTGTATTTTATTTTAAATCTTGAATGTATATGAAACAGGTTGCCTTAGCAGATAGAATCCGTTGTGAGTTATCAAAATTGATCTGATCTATGTCACTTTGGAGGTTTCAGTCCTTTTTCTTTTCCCTTCACATTTGCGTGTTTTATTTAAACTCTGTTCATTTCTTTTGCACTACATACATTATTCAGAGAATCCCTCTTACTGACAGCGCTGAAATTATTCAAAAACATGAATAGTACAAGATTCTTACTCATCAGAACACAATACACCAGAGCTGAAACATTTGTCTATTGGCATACATTGTTCTGCCACTTATAAGCAGGAAATTCTGCTCATGATTAGAAATCTACCTGATTTCAGTTTGATTTCAGATGTTGGAGCAAAACATTGATTTTTGGAGAGGATTGTATGTATTTATTCTTTAGCTGAATGCAAAATAATTTTCTTCCCTCCCTGTACCATCTATATAGTACATTAGTATATCTCAGCATCGCAGTCAACATTAAACATGCTTGAGTACTTATGAGAGGTAGTGCTATGATTTTACAAAGAACTATTTGCCTTTCAGCTCTTGTCTTGTGGTTGAGAATTTTTCTGTTGAAGTTGGAAAAATCCTTAATCTGTAGCATCTTGCAGTTCTTGAACAGAGTTAGGCTAAAGGGGATGAAGAGAGATTGATTCCAGTCTTTCATTAGTGTTTTATACTAAAAGTAAAGCTTTTCTCTTTGAGTCTGTTTGACTTCATGTGTATTCTGAGATTAATATATACCTAATAAGTGTAATTTAGAGAAAATGAGGCACTTCCTTCCTCTTTTGCACAGTTCTGTTCTTACTAGATTTTAATCCCAGTAGATGCAAATCTCCCAAAGCATAATCTTGTTTACGTGCTACATGGATGAGAAGAAAAGCCTACTGGAATTAAAAATTTTGTATCTTGGAATGACTTTCCTCTTTCTCCAGGAGTTAGTGTTTTTGACTCTTGTGCCCTCTAGATTTATGTGAGGTTGATGACCTGAAATTGGAGGGCCTGATTCTGCCTCACTAGTGAGAATGCATTTTCTGGGGAAGATCTACTGAGGCCAGAGGCAGCCCTGAAGTCAGACAGGAGCCTCCCTTGTCACTCTCACCTCTCTGTGTGTTTGTCTCTGGGCATGTGCATGCTCCTGAGGGGAGAGGCAATGTCATTTTGGAGTTAACTTTCTGCTGAGAACTCCAGAAACCTGAGGAAATAGACTCACACATAGTATTGCCCTTATATTGAGACTATCTGTCATTTTACCTACAGGAGTTTCAACTTTGATTTTCTCAGCTGCATCATAATGGGATTTTCATTAAATTTGGTTATTAATTCTGCTTTATAATTGCAACTCAATTTAGCAATAGAAGCATAACCTTGGTTGAATAATCAGTGTCATTTAAAACCATGGTGTTCTTTATTTAGTAAGTGAGGTTTCATACATCAGCATGGTGTTTTGCTATCAAGAGCAGTGCAGTATTCCCAAGGATGCAGTTTGGGGTGTGTTGGGAGTTATCATACAGTCAGGTTTTAACTGCAAAAGCAAACAGTGTACTAGTTGGTTAGAAAGATGGAACTAGATTAAAATTTACCCTTCTAAGGTAGGTTCGATTACAAAAATAATTTTTAAGTGAGTGTTTTGCTTTAATACGCAGAATTTATCTCAAGTTAGACTCCAATTATGAAAACAATTTCTCTTAACACTTTTTATTATTAGGCTTGCTGATGGAATCAAAGAATGTGTGTGTACTTGGGTGTCATCTGCCATAAGAAGAATTCTGTATATTTTTTAGAGATAAGAACATCCATATTCAAAGAATTTCATAGCTCTAAATGTGATATTTGTAAATAGCCATACAACAGAGAGAAGATGAACTGTCAATATCTCCACTCCATAAGAGTCTGGTTTTAATTTTCAGGGTTAGTGTTGGGAAAATAAATGATGGGCCTTTGCTGACATACAGTCAGATTCCTACCCTGGAAATCCAAAACATTCATTTCCCTGGCATTTGTTCTAGCATGTTACTGGACTGACTAAAACTTTAAACTCAAAAGCTTTATAGTAGCCTATAGAAATAATTTAATGTTAATTTCAGAAGATTGATAAGAAACACTGTATTTCTTCATTCCTTTTGCAGTAGGCAAAGCAGTGCAGTTCTTCTTGTGTAGGACAAAGCACTTTAACAAGTAAATTAAATTGATTAACTTGAGCTTTATCATTGTGATCTAAGTTTGTATGCTAGTCAAAATAACTCATGCATTTCATTTTTAGGTCTTAATTGTTTTGAGACTTGCTTGTTCATGAGAAGGGAAGACGTCTGCTTTGATTTCTTAATGGTTTTAGATACTACAATGAATTGTGCAATGCCAGATTGTGAGCAGGTGAAGTTCTTTGGATTTAAACATGTTGGACCAAGTAATAATTTCTCATAGTTCCTATTCCTTAATACCTGACTGATTTAAGGGTATGAAATCTCTGCTAGTGCAAAAGTGAAGATGTCCCTATAATTGCACCAGTGTAATTATAGGGAAAATTGGCCTGTTCTCTGGATTTCCATTCTTCCAGGCACTTAGCTTGAGGCAAAGATTTTGGACTAGTACAGCACAAAGTCTGCTTCTGCAACTGAGGTGAGCACACCAAAGTTATGTGGTAGGACACAAAGTCAAACTAGATAATTTATTTCTGTGTAAATCAAGATTTGTTCTGAATTTTGGAAAATAAATTTACTCAAAAGTATCTGATGGCAGTGTCTTGTTTTGAAATTTTGGCTTCACTTTTAATCATTTTTTCAGAAATTTTAACATCTTCCTCTATCTAGTTCAGGTTCTTACTACATTTTTGTTGTTATTATGGTTTATGTAGATCCTACTGGCTTTTATCAATGTTGATATGGATTCAGTTGTTTGTCAGTGCAGTTATATCTTGAGTTATCTCAAAAATTCTATATTGGCGATTGTCTGCTTTCAGGCACTCAAGATCAAAAAGAAAGGCTACCCTACATTTTGGCACTCAGAGATATTCTAGTGTTTTCTGGAGTCCTTAGCAGCACCTGCCTTCCTGTTGGGAACTGCTTCCTGCTGAGCACTTGGGAAAATCTGTCCTCCTCTGTGCAATAATGCATGGAAAAATGTTTTCTGTTGGTGCTGGTACTTCCTTGTGAGGACTGTGTTTCTTCCCTGCTCGTTTGCCAGATAAAGTCTGCCTGACTTGTACAAATAATTGCAAGTTCTGTATGGTGAGAAGATGGAACCAGAGTGATACATACCCCTCACCCTTGGCCTGGCTGCACACTGGAAAGACTGGACATTCTTCCTCTTCACCAGTTCCTCCAGAGCTGACTATAGCTAAGTTTTATGTTGGACTCAACTGGAAATACCTGGATAGTTACAACAAAGCTACTGTAATGGCTGGATTTTGATCAGCTATGCTATTATTAACAATCTCCAATGCAAACACTGGCCCTTGTCCTGAAGGTTTTTTTTTCCCCCAGGCAGAGCTGTTTGTGATTTAAATAGGGGATCTACCTGAGCAGTGATTGCAGAGTTTGGAACTCCTTAAAAAGAAGTAGTAGGAATCCACTTTATTTACAAAGGGAGCATGTTCTCATTTTTTCATCTCATAGCTCAATTTTTTAAACGTACTAAATTGCTTAACTCCTGTTATTTTTAAAACCCAAAATGTTTAGCAATTGGACCCCTGGTACATAATTGCCTGTTTACAAAGAAAGTCAGTTGGGCTACTGTTTTCCTGTGTTCCACAGGCTATTTCAATGTTGTATTTATATGCAGCAATTGCTCCTGAAGCATGCAGGTTTGTGCAGTACCTTTCACTATATTCATAACCAACACGCAGGGCTTTTTTCCTGTAAATACAAATACAGCCCAAAAAAAAGAAAAAGTACTTATGCTTTTCGCTATATTATTTATTAGGCTAATTGTTGGAAAAGGCTTTAAACACATTTTGAAGATGTATTAAAATATATAATTATCTAACTACTCATAACAGCTCTCTGTTTCTTGCTTTCAGACCCTCTGTGGGGTATAGATCCTGTGCCATCTCTGCATGCACTCTCTTCCAGTTGCTTCTGTGGTGTATTTTCATAATGAACTTCTAATCCCATAAAAATACAACTTTGTTTTTGTTTTTTTTTTTTTTTCTTCATTATTTTTTTTTTTTTTTTTTTTTTTTTTTTGCTTCATTTTTTTATCTTTTTTTAATGTTTTTAATGTAAAGTTTAGATATGCCTAGTGACTATCCATCAAATTTTAGGAAAGTTCACAGGTAGAGAGTTAACTGCTGAAAAGAATTGAGACCTTTATGCTTTGCTTGCCACAGTTTTCAAGGATATGGAATTTACATCTTCACATTGTGGTGTAAAAGATGATGCATATGTTCGTATTAGAAACTATCATGCAAAATAGTTAGGAATTATTATAAAAATAATCATTTTTTGTTAATTTCTTTCTCAGTTATGCATTATGCTTCATTTTTCATTATTGTCAAGGTCCTCTCCCAACCCAAACCATTCCATGATTTCTTTTTGTTAGTGATTTCACTTATGTCACCATGTCAGGGTCAGATCTGTTTTCCCAGTAGGAAAAGCGATTCATATAATAGATATTCAAGGTAAAAACAGCAGAAAAAGGAAATTCTTGTAGAAAAGAAAGTGCAAAATGTAGCACATTATTTGTCCCCAGAAGCTTCCTGTGCTACTTTAATACTCCTGACATTCAGTAGAGGTGTTTCACACTACTAGTTAATGTGAGATATGGATCTGGATGATGCTATGTTAATGCTATGTCTGGAAAACATTGAGTATAAGGGAGAAAGATTTTATCAAACACAGATACATTCACATAAAATGCAGGAGAGAAAGTTATAATAATTTTTAAGTGGCGTGTAGCTATCAATAAACAGGTCTCTGTTTTCTTACCTAAGTTGATGGGAGGAAAAGGGAAGAAGCTTTTACAGACCCTCAGGCTCAGCAGAGTAGTGTAGGATCTTCTTTCAGTGATTTCCTCCAGGTTTTCTGTATGGATCTGTCCTGGAGAGGTTTGCTAATAAAGGCCTTCATCCTTGATAATTTCCATTCATTTAAACTGAGAAGACTGTTTAAAAGTGGGCATTTCAAAAACACTGCAGCTGGAAGGATAATTTCCTTTAAAAATCAATAGTCATGGGCTCTTGGCTGAGTCAGGAGTTTTTCTCACTTCCCCTCCAAGTAGAAAGCACAAGCCAAATAAAAATCTGGGTTTTGGGGCTGTTTGCATACCCTGTTAACACTCAATCTGTTTGTGTGGCCTGCAATTGAGAGCTGGTTAGGGGTTTTTCTTTTTCATGTCCCTTGTTTAAAAAATAGTGTCTTTGGTCAGCTTCTCTGAGGAGGTAAAAGCAGCAGAGTAATACTGTATGATACGTTATTGTATAGATTAATTAATAATTAGAGTTGCTGTCTGGAGGCACAAACAAAGATTCAAGAAAGAGAGCATAAGAGGTGTGGAGGTGTACTGGGAGGACCTTCATTGGCATTTGCTGCAGGATTACATAGATCCCATGAAAGTGTGTGTCTGGAAGGTCAGATGTGGTGCCAAATGGAAGTGATCCAAGTTAGAAGTCCTTAGAGATGATGTAGGAAGGATGTGAGAGCAGTGTGAGGGAGGAAATGTTGACTGATGGCTACGAGCATCATTGCTTCAACAAAGAAAAAGTAAAGGTCACCAAGTGAGTGGGAGTGTGGATAGTATGCAATAATGTCCACAAATTAAGGCTAGATGGGGCCATTTTTGTCACTCAGTGGGGCCATCAAGATTCTTGTCAGCCAACCTCAATACCTTTATTCAGCCTGTAATTTTTTTTCCTGAATAAATCCAGTATTGACTTGAAGACAGAAAAAAAATCTCAGGCAAATGTCATGTCATGTCATCAAGACTTCATTGGGATATGTCATCCAGTGTCTTTATCTGTCTTGAATGTAGGAGCCATAAAGAGTAGGCAAGGAAAAGAAGTACTGAGTTTGTTTTTGGCTTTTACTTTAGAGGGATGTGATAATCGGCATGATCTTCATCCAGTTGTCAGAGTTGTGCAGCTCCCAGAGCCCCTGAGGTTTGTTCTGGATGGCTGGAACTGTGTCTTGCCAGCACAGAAAGGTGGCTTGGGACACCCTTAGTAGCATGGTTTAGTTATGGCAAGATGTGTAAGGACTTACCGGGACCTTTTTCAAGTTCCCTTGAAAAATGCTTAGGGTAGACACAAATGGTAGGACTTTTTCCCTCTCATAAGAGAAAAACATCTCCTAACCCCAGCAGGGACTGTGGCTTGAAGCAACAGTAATATAAGCTTGGTAAATGTGTTCCAAGACCACTAAGTACATTTCTGCTAACGAACATGTGCTAATCCCCATTATTTGTATTCACTGACTCATCTACCTACAAATACAACTTAATGGTCATATATGTTACCATATATTTCACTTTCTGTGAGCCACAGAGGATGTGAATCTATTACTGCTTTCACCTGGAGGCTTTGGGCTGTTAGCTTAAGATATCAAGAGTTATGAATTTAGCTTTGGAAATCCCTAGTTTCATCTGCTTTGTGTGTCAGATGAGATTGCAGCCAGAACACAAACATGATGATGAATGAGATTTAAAACACAAGAATATTTGTAGAAAGCAAAAGACTGAATAAAGGGATACAAGAAGTGCTCCCATAGCTGTCTTTGATGATCTGTTGCAGCATTCTGAATAGCAGATGTATATGGAAAGAATAAAAAAGAACAAACCCTTTCTTTCCTGATATTAAGTCACTAAAACAGGGACAAGTAGTAACAGAAGACCTCAACAATTAATTATGGTTGTAGTAATAGCTGTATTTACAGCATTCTGTTTACTCCATCCATTAAATGCTTTACTTAAATTATTTATTATTCAGTTATTATTGAAATCAGCTGGAAAATGTAAAGGTCTTTTCAGATAACTCTGAAAAAGAACAGGCACAGTGTGCAGCACATAATTGACAAGGTTTCGGCAGGTGCTGCGTGAGATGATTTTGAACCCAGGTGAGAGCTGGGTCTGCCTTGGTTCTTCAGGCACCTTTGCAGACTCAGAAATGAGAGGTTACCCAGAGTAAGGACTTAAATTTAGAGTTGGGATCTTGACCCTGAAGTTGCTCTTTGCCCTCCGTGGACGTCCAGCTGGGTGGAAGAAGAGCTTCAAGATACTTCAGGAGCCATGTATTAAAGAAACATCATTATATGGTGTTGGAGAAAGAGGATTCAGAGGGAAGAGAACGGACTGACATGGAGCACTTCTTGATGCATGGGGAATCTTCTGAATTTGAAAAGAACTGTAAGGTGTGGCTGGTGCTTGTGAACCAGGCATTATAACTGGTGAGAGCTGACATGACTTTAAAATGCTTTAGGGTGAACATGTGGTTGTGACAAGCTGAAAACTTAGTACAAAGGGGTAAGTAACACCTAGACCAGACATCCAGTGAAGCACAGGAGGAGTAATGGAATAGCACAAGACTGAAAAATACTCTTCCAAGGGACAAAGAGAAAATTCTGTTCACTTCCATCATCTATCTTCTCTCTTCTATTCTGGTTTTTATTGATACATGCCCCAGCTTTACATGACAAAATGGGAGCAGTTTTCAAGAAGCACCAGCAGTGGAAGCAGTTGACATGGTGCTTCCCATGCTGTGCACCACTGAAGAGGATCCAGGCATCCCAGAACCAAAGTCATAATGTCCCAATCCTACCCCACAGCTAGGGACAGGCTGTTGTGGCTTCTGGGTTCAGCACCAGAAGCCAAGGCAGCTTATTAGCTCCTGTAATGTATTGATTGCAGATAACTGTCAGCTTAACTACTGCAGGGAAAGGAAGGAAAAGGAGAGTATAAAGCATTTGCTTCTTGGTCACAAACAAAAAAAAAATTGCATATGTCCTCAGAAAAACTCTGCCTGTTTCTGTCTCTGTCTTACTCCCCCAAGTCAGACTTGGACTTCATTATGTGCAACATTTTGAGGGAGTGGTGGTGCTGTACCACAAAAAACAGTTCATGCAGATGAATTGAGTTGCTTCTCTCCATATTTTTCTGGGTCTCTAACAGATGTTGAGGGACTACTGTTTTTTCATTTTTTGATGAAAGGACCAGAAAGCCCATCATTCTTTCAAGTTACTGTTTATTAAGGGAATCTCTTGTTCTTCAGAACAGCTGTCAGGCACCAGGACTTCACAACTTAATAGCATTTTCTTTGTCAGCCTTTCACATACTATGCTAAATGGGAGGCTAGCAGAAAATCCTTTGAGCAATTACAATAATAGGATAATAATTATTGCAGTTCCTTGCCCTTATATAGTGTCTGTGAAATTAAAATGATCCAGCATAATGTTATCTGTTTGAAAAGGTGTGGATATCCCCTGTCAGGAGCATCACCTTGAGAAACTGCTCTCCAGAGCCTCACCTTCCTGCTACCTTGTATTTTATATGGTAAAGCAGGGCTGTTCTGCCACCTTCCTATCCATGTCTGTGAGCAATTCACTGCACAAATGAAGTCATGAAAGAGGATGTGAATGAGAGGACTTGGCACCATGAAGATTTTTTCCTCTTGTGCCTATAAAAGACAGGAGAACATTAAAGGATAATCTCTCCTAATCAGTGGGAACATGCTTACATAAGATATTTTCCTTTCTTGACTGCACATCATGTAGGTCTTAGAAGTACTAGTTAAGTGAGTGAAGTGTGTGCCACCAAAAATGTAACATACTCATATAGCTTTAAGCCTGTTGATTTCTTAAAAGATGTGCATTACAATAACGTACTGCCTTCCTGCCTGGGAAATTATTGTCTGCAAACTGTTGGATTATTGGCACAGTAAGTTAGCAGCCTATTGAAATAAAATCCCTCAGGGCCTTTTCTTGGCCTCAATAAAAGTGTTTCACATTTAATTAAAATTATAAGGTCAATAATGTCAAACTTTCAAAACTTTGTATCTATTGTTAGTGC